TAAGAATGTATAATTGTCTGAATATAAATATCAATTCTTTATTACACAAATGTTTTTAATTAATTAAACGACATTGGACTATATTTTTATAAAACTTTTAACAACATTAAACACCATCCTAGGCTGGAAAAAAACTTTGAAATTTTTATCATTACATATAAATTATTATTTAAAAATATATTACTGTTTATTTAATGTGAATATAAATGAGTTCTTATTATATATTATATTTAACATGTGAACTTAATTTATGGCCAAATGATTTACTAGGTTATCAGGCTATGGTAAGGATAATTTTAAATATAATATATAATAAGAANTTTTATAATAATTATCTGTACAAAAATGCCTACTTTCAGGAAGCCGAATGTTTAAATTTTTCACAAAGGAACATTTTTGTTTTATTTTAGGATAGCTTCAGCTTCTTAACTTACACAAGTCACAGGATTTGAAAATACTGGATACCAAATGGATGAGAGTACTAGAAACAACAAATTAGAAGGATATAGTTAAAGGATTGCAAGACAGAAGAATGAAGGAGGAAGTGTGATATAAGTGTGAAAATTAACACTTTTAGCTGAACTGGGAAGCAATGTTAACACTGCTGATGGGTCAGGTTTGATTTTAACAAATTAGAGTGAAAATGTATAGTTTGAATTATTGTTTGATATGTGAAAAATGTTTGAATCCAGTTGAAACAGTGACTTGTGTATGTTAATAAGCTGAAGCTCTCCTAAAATAGAATGATAACGTTCCTTTTTGAAGGATGGCTACTTGAAAATAAGCATAACAGCATACATGATAACATGATTTTATAATATTTGTGAATAGTCAAAATTCAATTTTTAATTGAAAATAATTATTTTAGACAGATAATAACATGTAGCCAGAAACACATTAGGTAATATTTGATTTCAAAATAATATTGGCAACTCCAGAGATTCTTAGAATTTAATGATTATTTTTTAAAAGTCATGCTTTATTGTAATTAGTAATATGAAATAATTGTTTAAGAGTTATCTTCAGTGCTTCTAAATGGAACATCTTTTGAAATAACATTTTTCAACATAATTATTATCTGAAATTTTTTGAATATAGAGCATTTCAGTAACAAAATGATCCTTTGAAATTTAGACACTAGATCTCATAAATAAACGTTTGTATGGAGATATCATCATCTTTGAAACCTGGAATCAAAGTTCTGTTTAATAAAGCTTCCTTAATCTGTCTGGTAGGATAAAAAAAGCAATTTAAAGTCCCTGAAACATCTGTAAATTTACTTTTCTGAAAGAAAAGCAGAGTGAGTGCATTAATTTTAAGGACCATAATTTCATTTCCACAACCTGGAAAACTCTGTTTGAATTATAATAAACTTGGATTAGTTTTTATTGTTTGTTGTCATTTTGATTTACTATTTATTTTGAATTTTGATTTCATACTACTTGTTTTTGTACACCATTTTTTGAACTATACACCATGTAAATTTGTTTTCTTTTAAATGTTATTCCTTTATTAGAATATGCTATCTTTCAAAAAGACATTTGTTTACAAGATCCAATGTCTGAATTTCAAAGATTCATTCAGTTAATGTGCACTGGAATGCTCTATGTTTAAAAATCCAAGATAATATTCATGTCAGAAAATGTTCTTTTGAAAGATGTTGCATTTAAAAGCATTGAAGAGGGCCTGTAAAAGATTGAAAACATTCTGATATTAAGATTTGTTGGCTGAAGTTAAAGGTTAGTGTTTTAATATTTATAAAATAAATTATTTTGAATTTTCTTTGATTAAATTATTTTTAACATTCGATCCAATAATCCAAATTTTTTTAAAGCAAATGATCTGCCGTATTATTAGGTTATTTAGCATGATAGTATGGCAGAGCATTTGGCTTTAAAAAAATTCATATTTTTTATGTATGTGAGTTTTTTGTATTATCCATATTCTAAAATTTTTAAAATTTTTTATCACCACAATTAATTTTTATTTCTTGTTCAGATAGTTAATCTTAAGTCAAATATCCAACTGCCAGATTTATTTGGCTATACTTAAGTTAGAAATTTAACTAATTACCTATATAATTTTTTAAAGATAATCTAAATCTGGTAATTAAATATTTGGTTTAATGTTAATAAATCAGAGTAGACAAGTTTATACCTGCAGACAAGCATAGAATTCACATCATAGCAAATCACAGAATTCCATTTTTTTTATTATAACAAAATATACTATACTTTTTTGGTTTAATATATAGTATTAATAATATTATTTCTATTAATTAGGAATAGATTTTTAAAATTTTGTAATGTAAAATGCACTGTGGAAGAGTTAAAAAGTTAAGAGAGAAATAAAACAAGAAAAAATTCAGCAACGAGTTGCTAAACTTTTCTGGTAACATTTGGTGGCACCATCTGTTATCATATTTTATTAAAAAAAACCTTTTTATATTTTTAACTATAATAAAATGGCAGAGCTTTAATTTTCAGGGTAAGGATGGATTTTATAAAAAATTGCAAGTGCTAATAACAAGCAAAATCGTCATTAAGTCCAACCCTACTGGAGATAACAACGACCCTTTTTATCTCCACTCTCCCTTGACCTCTAACCACCAAATTTAACAGCATCAATCCCTTTAATAAACAAAAATCCCTGCAAAATTTCAGAAATTTTTAATAAAAAGCACAGGAGTTATTAAGCTTAAAACAGGGTGAACAAAACACACACAAACATCCGTACATATAGAAATTACCCAATAAATTACCAAACGATCGCCTAAATATCGAGCTATAGTTAAATGATTAGAATAAAGTAATTTGACATTAGAGGTAAGTGTTAGGCGCCATCTCTTAAGTAAATTAATAATTAAAATTAAATAAATAAATTATTAAATGAATTTTAGAACCTTCTGGAATAAAAAAACTGGCCCGGGACGAAGCTTGAATCCGCAACCTCCGCTTGACGTGCAGTGCACTTGCCAGTTACGCGACCCGGACCCCGAGCGAGTCTTCGCTTCCAGAAGTATATTAAATTAGATATAACCTTACTTGGTTGAATACTTTATTCTAATCATTTACTTATAGCCCGATATTTAGGTAATCGTTTGGTAATTTATTATATACTATTCGGGCTTTGAGTGGTTGATATTTATAGAAATTACCCCTGAATTATTTTGCATTTCTCAAAATTTAAAAGTGTCATGAGTCCAATAATGTAAAAATCTTGGATCATTTTTTGACCGATTGCCATACTTTCCCTCTGTTATATATAACAGCCAGAAAAGTAAAAAGACATTATAGCAGTTTTCCAAAAAGTGCATTGATACTATATGGGGTTCATTTAATCCCATTATGTTTGTTTTGCTTATGTGTGTGCTAATATGTACAGACTTAAATGTCAGGATTTTTCTATTACTGATTATCTGGAAGTTCCACAATCCACAAGACTCACTAGAATTTGTTCCTCATAAGAATACAAAAGCAATCTTCACATTGATATAAGAATGTATAATTGTCTGAATATAAATATCAATTCTTTATTACACAAATGTTTTTAATTAATTAAACGACATTGGACTATATTTTTATAAAACTTTTAACAACATTAAACACCATCCTAGGCTGGAAAAAAACTTTGAAATTTTTATCATTACATATAAATTATTATTTAAAAATATATTACTGTTTATTTAATGTGAATATAAATGAGTTCTTATTATATATTATATTTAACATGTAAACTTAATTTATGGCCAAATGATTTATTAGGTTATCAGGCTATGGTAAGGATAATTTTAAAAATTTCTTATAAATTTGACTAGATGTGTGACCAATTCTTTTATTCCAAAACTTTATAAATTAAAATTAAAAATGAATTGACTTATAATTAATAAATTTATCACAAAATGGGAGTTTAACCACGTACTTCTACTCAAATTTCTTTAAACACTGACACTCATAAAAAACACCTTCTTTACTTATTCCAGCAATGTTTATTCTAAATTACAAACCTTCTTTGCCACATTTAGAAATCTTCTTCAAGTAAAAAGCTGTTCCATATGTCAAACATTCAAAAAATCTTTTCAAATTTTGACTGTTTGATAGATGGAACAGCTTTTTATTTTAAGAAGGCCACTAAATGCAGCAAAAAATGCTTACAATTCATAATAAACTTTGTGAGAATAAGTAAGAAAGATGTTTTTTGTACATGCCAGTGTTTATTAAAAAGTTCCAGTTTATTAATTAACAAATTACTTTACGTTTGATGATTAAAATTAGCCTTAATAAACTCCATGATCTGGCAAATTGTTTGATTTTAATTAAAATTCAGGTTAGTGGATTGAATGTTTATATATATGAACCTATTATTTTTAGCCAATACCCATACAACACAAAACTTTGATTCAATCTTTTTAGGTTTGATAAATTCATTCATAAAGCTGACCACTTGTGGCCAGCAACAGAATGATCTATAGATAAAACCCAAGTTCAACTTCTGTTATGGTATAGAAAATATAGTTCAGTGTATTTTTACTTAAGTTTTGTANCCAGCAGCAGAATGATCTATAGATAAAACCCAAGTTCAACTTCTGTTATGGTATAGAAAATATAGTTCAGTGTATTTTTACTTAAGTTTTGTAAACAGTAAGTACAATTTTAACACAAATTTTTCAAAAAATATTTTGAATAAATTTACTCACCAGCATTTTTTGAATAGTATCTATTGATTGATCAGCAACACTAACATCATTAATTTCTTTGATCTCATCTCCCACATGGAGAGTGGCTAATAAAAAAAATGAGTTATTAATTTAATTATTTGAAATTAAAATATGAAATGTATTAATAAATATTTGCACATAATTTGAAATTTGTCATTTTATCTAAATTCTAACTAAATCTCAATTTATTCAATNAGATAAAACCCAAGTTCAACTTCTGTTATGGTATAGAAAATATAGTTCAGTGTATTTTTACTTAAGTTTTGTAAAAAGTAAGTACAATTTTAACACAAATTTTTCAAAAAACATTTTGAATAAATTTACTCACCAGCATTTTTTGAAGCGTATCTACTGATTGATTAGCAACACTAACATCATTAATTTCTTTGATTTCATCTCCCACATGGAGAGTGGCTAATAAAAAAAAAGAGTCATTAATTTAATTATTTGAAATTAAAATATGAAATGTATTAATAAATATTTGCACATAATTTGAAATTTGTCATTTTATCTAAATTCTAACTAAATCTCAATTTATTCAATNTAATTATTTGAAATTAAAATATGAAATGTATTAATAAATATTTGCACATAATTTGAAATTTGTCATTTTATCTAAATTCTAACTAAATCTCAATTTATTCAATACAATAGATGATGTTTCCAAGGGTTTGATTCCATTCGTTTACAGAAGACCCCCTATAATGTGGGTTTCTATAACAGAAATTCCTATAATGTAGCGAAAAAATTGCGGCAGTATTCGTATAAAGGGACTCGTAAAACACCGTCGCCGACTCGTGTCACGACAAGATTGGTCGAACCTGGACCAATAGTAAACGAGCAGCCGAACTACTTTCCGCCGTCCAGTGCCACGCTACGGAAAGTTTAGGCAGGTAAATTGCGTTTGCTATCGTCTGTACAGTATTATATATAAACTAGTTACTGTACATATAATTATATATTAATTATATATAAATTAGGTACTGTATATATAATTATATATTAACTTAATNAGTCGTTATTATAGTTATTCTAACAATTAAATTCTTTATTAATAATTTCTTTAATGTCTTAAGTTTATGCTATTATTCTTAGAAAACATTTAAACCTGATTATATTTTTATTTTCTGCAATAATTTGTTTTAATATATATTTTATTGGTTTTCATTAATTGTTTGTTGTATTCAGGTGCAAATATTGTCCTCAAGACATTGCTTGCATTTTAAAATAATTAAATGTTTAATAATTGTGCTTGGTGCCATTTGTTCTCGTGTAATATTTAACACTGAGATTTTTTCATATTATTTTTTCATCAAGAAAATTAACATATACCTTTAATCCTCTTAACATCCTTCTTTCTTGTCCCATGTGACCAGGTAATTTTTTGCCTCTCATTACTCCCCTCTTGCTCTATTTAAAGCAAAGTAATATTTAACAACTACATAATATATTAAAAATATATTGGAACTTTTAAGTTATAGAATATATTAAAACATTGAAAATTTTACTTACTCCTNACAGTTTTAGTGATGTGTTTCTTGTGTGTAATGTCATCCAGATGTTCTGCCAGTCTGTTGGCTAGCATTCTTGCAGTAGTAGCTATATATAGGTGTTAATACATAATAAACAATATATAATGTGTTAATATAAACACCTATATATATGTAGATGGTGTCTGTATTAACACATTAGCCTGGATGACATTATTATTTTAAAAATAGTAGAAATAAGCAATAAATGTCTTTATTACATCCTTTCACATACCTCAGGAACACAACTTTTTTCCTTATGAAGTAAACATTTTATTAGTGGCTACTCATCCACCATAACGTGCGAAAAGCAGTTAAAATCTTCCAGGGTGATGGCAAAATAAACTAATTAAAATATATTAATTAACACATTGGCCAGGATGGCATTGATATTAAAAAATAGAACAAGGAAAATAAAAACCCAGAAAAAAACACCAGAAGCTTTACTGGGAAAATTTTGCTCCTAAGGTGTATGAAAGGACATAATGAAGACATTGTTCCTGATATATTTTAAGTGGTGTCTCAAAAAAAGGAAGAAAGAATATATTCCTTTAAAGAAATATTTAAAGAAAACGTTGTGTATGGAACCCTAATCTCTCATACTTTGAGCATCAATGTCTATTGTTAACACAAGAATCTGCATAAAGATAGTAAAGTTAAAATGAGCAGAATATACTTGTATCTTCTAAAAAGTTTTGTAAGATAATGAAATTGGGCCTAGTGTAAAAACTTTCTCGTTGTTGACAGTCATGGTAGAAACTGGGAATAAAGTCCTTAATACCCTACAGTTAATGTGATCCTATATATTTACTCTTCAATAACATAGATTAAGAAATCTACATGCTTATCATAAACAATAAATAGACAGTAATAAAAACAGTATGATTAAAAGAAGAAAAAAAAACTGTATAACTTATAACACAAAATATAACAGGTTAGACACAATAGGAGTCCTTAAACACTTAAATTGTGGAGATATATGTGGAGACTTATCACTGTTATTAGGAACATTACAATGACACTTTGATGTTTGATAGGTAACTTTTATTACTGGTATGCATTTCAGTCATGAATACAATGGTAACTACAACAGATATAAACATTTAATTAAAATTTATATCTGTTGTAGTTATCATTATATTCATATACAGCTGAAAAGGGTCTTTGTGACTGAAATGCATACCAGTAATAAAAGTTACTTATCAAACACCAAAGTGTCACTGTAATGTTCCTACAACAGTGTTATAAGTCTCCACATATATCTCCACAAATTAAGTGTTTGGGAAATTCTATTGTAAATACATTTTAAGACAAGAAACTTTAATTGATAGAATAATAGGTTGGAATTAGAATTCTTTTTTTTTAGAAAAGTAATGATTAACAGTAGTAGCATCTCTTTTCGATTTCAAAGTGAAGTTAATAAAACTAAGTCATTTCAATTAAACTTTTTATATCAGTGAATTTTCTTAATTAGTAAAAAAATCCAGAACAAATATGTGATTAAAAAGTTCTTTGAAACACTAAAAAACAAGATAATACATTAATTTGTTCTTTTCATGTACAGTACCTCAGAACATGAGAAAATCAAATGACAGAGTCAATACTCTCTTCATTTTTTATTCTTTGAAATATATTAGAAAATTTTCTAATTGTATATTTGACCTGGATTTTTTACCACAATGTATTTTTACATTGTGCTTCCAACAGAGAGATCATTGTTAGTAAATTTTACACACTGAGGCAGAGAAAAGCCTCAAAATAAAGGCTAACTTTGCTGTTTGACTTTTTTCCCAACATGTATGAAGAAGACAAATTATAAAGAAAGTCTTTTAATGTTTTTTTTAAAGTATTTTAGAGAACTTTTAAGTTTCTTTTTAATATTATAAAGTATCAAAATTATCAATCATATTTTAAATGACAGAATTTATTAAATAAGCTTTGTTGATAATGGAACTTGAATTGCTATTCCAATATTTCTTCTGTTATATTTACTTGAAATTTTAGTATAATTTTTGGAATAGAAAACAAATGCGATTGAATACAAACTGCAATAATCAATAAATATAATTTTTTTTTAATTACTTTTAAATTCAAGATGACCAAATCATTTAGATAATTACACAAATTTTATCTTAAACAGTAATGAATTTTAACATTAATTATTAAGTCGTATTAGAAATTCATTACCTTGTTTATGTATCATTCCACCATGCATTATACGAGCTACTAGACATCTTCCCTCTTCATCCAATTTCAGAGTCATTCCCTAAAAAATAAAATCGGAAATGTAATGTAATACAACACATCAAGTTCTCTGTATTTTACATTGTAATATTCAGTGGAAAATCAATGTATATAGAGAGAAATAGAAGGAAAATGAGAAAAGACACAGATATTATTTGCTTGAATAGAGTAAGTAATGACATGAAGGAAAATTGGGCAGAACGTGGTGAACTCAGAGATGTAGAGACAGATGCATGTATCTCAGTTGCTAAATAAGAAAGAATGCTACAAACTCTACTAACATACAATAAATAATTTAAAAATTATCATCAACAAAAAGTTAATTATTATGCTAATATTAATATTAAAATGTTAAATATATATATGGGTAATATATAAATTTTTTCAATAGAAGTAATTTTTAACAATTCAAAGATAAATTTAAAATTTGTTTAGTAATTATCCGTGGGTTAGAATAAAAGAGCAGGAATTGAAACATAAATTTCAAACATATCAAACAAGCATTTGATTGGACATAGCATTAATCATCATTGTTGCTGTTTACAAATGAAATTCTTGTTTTGATCAACCTCAAAAAACTCCATGCTTGTGATAAGGTGTAGTTTGTAAACAGCAGCAATGACAATCACACTGCATCTAATCAGATACAGGTTCAATACAATTGAAATTTACATTCAAATTCCTGCTCTTTTATTCTAACCCAAGATGATCACTAAAACTAGTTGAAAACATTCGTTTTCTTCAATAAATCTGCTGTTTTTTTATATTTTGTGTCCATTGTATCTAAGCACCCAGTTATGTGCTTTTATTTAAAATAAACTTAATTTTTATGCTTGACATACAAAAATTAAATCAATACTTTTTTAATACTGTATATACCAGGGGTGGCCAACTTTTGTGTACATAAGATCTACTTTTTATCTTAAAAATGTGTCGCGATCGACTTGTTGTTGTAGGGATAGTCTAAGTAGCGCTATGTTTAGATAGGTAAGAAAAGCCACAATTTAATTTAAAACCTGAAGAAAAGGTACTTACATTGTAAACAGAAGAAAAATTGAAACTTAATGTTGTCACTTTCGGGGACCATCACTTCACCCTTCCTCTTTCTACCATGTCCCAACAACTCTCTCTGTCGCTCTTCCCACCTTTTTTTTTTTTTTTTGGTTTTACGATCATTTGTCTACATTTCTTATTCCCCTTTTACAACTGTATGCAAATGAATAGCACATGGACCGACAAAACCGCATCTGTGGGAGGACGCGGTGGTCCAATATCACTACATTTGTGTTTGCGCATTACGTACGGTTACAAGTGTAACACATTAATTCAAGACATCGCGAGCAATCGACCAAAATTGCTTCGACTGTTGGCCACCCCTGGTATATACTGTTTAAGAAAGGTGCAAAGAAACAACCATCCAACTACTGTCCAATCGCACTATTGTTTGGATTCCGAAAACTGTATACTTCAATTCTTCTCACAAGATTCAGACCGAAAAAAACAACTTTAAAAATCATACTTAATATGCATTCAACAGAGATGGAGGAACTCAAGTGGCACTTTTCGTCTTATTGGCAGTAATACAACTTCAACTCCGGAAAAAAGACACAAAGTGTTCGCTCTATTTTTAGATATAGAAAAGGCATATGACTCAGTTTCAATTCCAATACAGTAGAGCGTCGATTTTCCGAAAGTCAATCATCCGAAAGAATTCCAGTTGGCAAATTTAAATTTTCGCCAGTGCTGTGACACTTCAATCTTTGGCTATGTCTTGGGCTACTCAAATATTTAACGTTTTTGATACTAAATTAACATCTGAAGTATAATTTTTTATTATTTTTATATTTTTCAATATATTTATTTTGTTTGTACAAAATAAAAAAATAATTTTTAACGATACAATAGTCTTTGTTAGGCTTAACATCGACGAAAATTCAACGCGAAGCGACACGCAACGGAGAAAAATTTCGACATCGGATACGTTCAACTATTTTTTCGTACGTAAATCAGTTATCCGAAATATCAGTTATCCGGACAACCCCAGTCCCCAATTGATTCGGAAAATCGAGAAAACAATAACTTGTCAAGCAGAAGATAAATTAATAAGAGCTGTAGAATTGTTGTTTGGTCAGTATGAAGTTGTGATAAAACAGAATAACATTTTATGGCCGGGTTTTGAAATTAGTTGCGGCTTATTACAAAGAGATCCTTGGTCTCTATACTTATTCAACTTTTATATGTTCGATTTGAATGCGTGCTTTACTAGAGAAGATGATATTTTTTTGTTCAACAACCAAACAATACATTCTATATCATATGCAGATGACATAGTGATCTTAGTTCTGACAGCTGCCACTCTTTGAAGGAAAATATATGTTTTATTTATTTGTCGAAACTGTGTCTTCTTCTTCTTGTTTCTTCTAATTCTATGTCATGACTTGGTGCATTTATCGACACTTGGCAAATAATTTCATCATCCACTTTTAATCCATACGGATATGCATTTTGGGCTTTTGCCCCTCTTCAATCTGTTACATCGATAGGTTGTATTTTGTGTATACAGTATCAGTCAGGCACCTTCCGTACTTTCCACTTCCCTTCCCTTTCCTCCCCTCCCAACTTGACGGCCTCCCCCGCATGCCTCGTAACTTGTAACGTCTCACTTCCTTGAGTGCTGCACACAGCCTCCCCTGCGACTGTATAAACATTCTATTTCAATAATTGCAGCCAGTTTTTATGAATGTTAATGCTTAGATTCTTGTTAATATTATTTTTGTCTGTAGTAATTTTGTAGCTTTCCTTGAATTTTCTTTTGTACCAATTTTTTTCTTTGTGTACTATTTCAATATTTATTACATTACAAAAACATTTATGAGAAGAAAATTTGATTTTTTTTACTTTCTTTTAGCATAATATGTAATGTTTCACATTCAGATTAATACGAATCATGATTCCGAGAAATTCATTTTTTGGAACACTCACTTGTCCCACTGTAAAGCCATCATTTTTATATTAAAAAACGTAAGATATGTGGATAAATGAAGAGAATCAAAATAAGAAATACACACAGACTGATTGTCAGTGGTGGATTAACTAGCACCTGATACTCTAGGCTGAGCTTTAGTAAGGCTTCCCATCCTAGCCTTTTTCAAATAGAATGACATAGAATAAAGTGACATTAAGTTACATTAATTAAATAAGATAAATAACACATCAGTGTATCAGTGTAATAAAATATCAGTTAAACTATTTGCTTATTTGTTTTTTTACTCTTGGGCTCCATTTCAGAACTCCTAGCTTAAGCATATTCAGCTTGGTGGTTAATCCTCCACTGCTCATTGTTCATTCCTCTTATCAATTTATATGATTTTAACAAACTGATATGTTAATTATCATGTAATATTTATTTTTAACGTCTAATTTATAATAAGCAGACATTATACCAATATAGATTACATATTAATATCACACTAACAGATTATGATATTACATTGTACAGCTTTATACTAACCATTGGTTCATCTGTGTTTTTCTGAAACTGCACAAATCGTACTCTCCTAACATTTTCCAACTCAATGCTAGTTTCGGCATGCATTTCTTTAGTATCATTCACATAAGGAAATATAAGTTGAATTGCATCTTTCCCATATACCTCATGTGCCAAAACATCATGGGCTTGTATATGTGCCTAAATAATAATAGAAAAATTTTACTTTTTCAGTTTTATAATTATATATTTAATATCCTTAATTTCAGGTTTATACAATGAAAAAACATTTAAACTTATAAAATTATTAATATTTAAATGTCATTAAGANAAAATAAATACGAAACAAATATCTCTGTCCTAATCGATTATCTGTTTTATTTATTATTAATTTAATGTCCTCTGTGGCTAGGTTTGCCATGTTCTTTGAGATAAAATCCGGGACAAAATGAGGCCTTTCCGAAAGATATCCATAACATGCAAGATATGTATTTTTAATCTACCAGTGAGGTAAATACATTTAAAATGGTTAGTGATTTAATAATAACTTCACTGTAGGAGCAGTTTTTTAAATAAAGTTTTGTTTCTAGATGGCAGTCGGGAAAAATCCTGTATAATCCCGGAAAACCGGGACGTCTGGTAAGCCTATTTATGACTCCAAGAATATTCCATCCATCGAAGAATAAGCCAAAATTAAGAAGAATTAAGAATTTAACAAAAGACCAAAACATTTTCAAAAAAAAAAAAACTTAACTTTTTCAGATTTAATTTTGGTACAATCACAAAAGAAAATTTCTACTTTTTTGGAAACGAAACGATTTTTGAAACAGTGCATACGTTCAGACAAAAAGTAGAATTTATAAATATTCAAAACGAAGAATGGTACAATTTCAGGTCTTGAAACAACAAAAAGAACATGCGAATCCCGACCTTGGAGTAAGCCAGGCATGACATCAATTATTAAGCACTCTAACCATTAAGAATGCTATAAAAAAATTATAACTATACAAGGAATCTGTAGATAGCGAGAGTCATTGCTTACGTTTTCCTAAAGTTTCTACTATTAGTTCAAATTCACAAGCCTCCTGAAATATATAAATTAAACCATTTGTTCCTACATACTATGAAAATAAACAATAGTTTCTATCTTGTGCAAAAAAGCTGATGATAAAATAAAGCTTTGGTTTACTACATCAAACAAGAAAACAGCCTTAATATTCTTCTTTTCTGGTTCTTATAATCTGATTTCTGGTTATTTATTTAAACTATATTCTAGTTGTTATTAGTGCATGTTTTAGTTTAATTTTAATATTTTTTGATATAAAGAATGTACAGATGTTAAGAGTTTGTGATTTAAATTTTGATAATACAGTAGAGCGTCGTTTATCCGAAAGAATTCCAGTCGGCCTAAGTATAATTTTTATTTGTTTTTATATTTTTCAATGTATATATTTCGTTTGTAAAACATAAAGAAATCATTTTTAACGATACAATAGCCACGATTATTATTTTAAAAAGTTCACGTTAGGCTTAAGATCGACGAAAATTCAACGCGAAGCGACACGCAACGGAGAAAAATTTCAACACGGGGTAGGTTAATATATTTATTCGTGCATAATCGGTTATCCGAAAAATAAGTTATCCGAACAACCCCAGTCCCCAATTGATTCGGATAAACGACGCTCTACTGTAATAATAAAATAATTACTTTTATCACGGACAGATGGCATCGTAAATTAATAATTTTTCTTAATTATTGTTGTCGTTATTATTAATTTACATTTAAGAAAGCTTGAAATAATTTTTAATATTACACTTTTGATATAAATATAGAATTTATAATGAAAAGTTTCTTTTATTAATTATTTTAAATTAATAATGTTCTTATATATGTATTATAATTGTTATTCTAAACATTGAATAAATTATTTTTATTATTTTATACTGTTTTATGACTTTGTTATTTGATAAAAAGCATTTTTTGTAATACAATAATAATCTTAATAATTATAAAAAAATAATCTATAAATATTTTTACATTTCTAAAATAATAATATCAAAATTCATAATTTTTAATTATATTTTTCCAAAAACGTTAATTTTTGCTGTTGAAAAATTTTGAAAAAATTAATTCATTAATAAATTATTTTAAATGGATAATAACATNAGTTGAAAAACCCTAAGAATGTTTTCAAGGATGGTCCATCCCAGATATGTTGGGTTACCATCTGTCATCACCATCTAATGTTTCTCGTGCCCATTGCGGGCCTTGCCAAACCACAACCAACATGAGAAGAAAGATCTTCTTGGTGTCCACAGGAAGAAGAGTTAAAAAAATCTCAAGAAAATTAATTTTGTTTTTCTGCTGTTTTAAGATGCTATTTTAAGACAAAACAGTAAATTTTTAAATATTTGTATGTTTACCATATCAAATTAATGTTTTCAGAATGTTAGAAAATTATTATATTCTCAATATTTTCTACAGCTCCAAATATAAAGAGAATTATATAATTTAGAAATCATTTTGATTATAAAAACTGTACATAATTTATTTCAATGAAGACAATGCAATAAATNTCATCCAAACGAAGTAGAACTGATTCTTCTGCATCAAACAAGAAAAGAAAAATTTTATCTTTGAAATGTAAAGTTAACATTGGGTATATTCGTAAAGTTGAACGAGTTAAACGAGAATGACGTCATCGTTATTCCTATTTCGTTAGACTTTTCGAACGATTCGTTACTAACGCGTTTAACACGTGGACAATCTGCCAATGGTAAGGTTTCCGTGGAGAACTTTACATAGGAAGCTAGACATTAAAAATTTGGAAAATTCCACGTAGCTAGACACCATATAAATCTGTTGCCCCACAACTTTAACCTAATGTAACCTGAAACCGATATGGAGTTAAGGAAAAATGAACGCATTGCCTTCCACCTTTATATTATTTATATCTTATTTTAAAAATTCTACATGTATGTTGCATTTGAAACCAAACACAATTATAAAACTTCTAGGCTTACAGGAGCGGCGCTGAACGTCCGAAGTACACGTTTTCGCATTTAAAACTTCGGCCTCAACCTCGCTATTGTTTCCAGAATTGTAACATTTCTTTATTAAATAAACTAGCACGAGTTTCTCAACTTTCCCAGTAACATTTAAAATTTTGGTGACGCCATCTGTTATCATATTCTATTTTNAACAACAATTTATGACAGAAAATCTATTATTAAATTTTAACACTTGGATGATTTTTAATTATTTGTAAGATAAATGTCAACAAGCTATTTACAAATAGGTAAAATGAAAGTAATATAACTGTCAAGTTAATATTAGATTAAATGCGCTCATTGATTTTATTTTCTACTTAAGATAAAAAAGTTGGATCTAAATATGAAGAAATATAGGGGAAAAAATAGCAATTAAAACATACATTCTGTTTAAATTTCTGACAAGAATTACTTATGATAGTTGAATGAAGGAAATAATGATCTTACAGCAAAAAAGGAAGATTTCAGAAGAAAAAATAAACAGCTGAATAGTGGCCAAGGTGGTAACCTATTGCTCTGTATATAAGTTGAATTGTGGTCAGTGTTACATTGAGGCTGTCACAAATAGAATTTTGGCAGTCAAAATAACCTGAGAAATTTTTCACGGGCAGTCTGCCTAATTATGTCACCCCTTATCCTTCATCATCTGTTGCATCATGTCAGAGGAGCAAGGATGCAACTGGTTGTATTATCCGGTTGCATCCTTCATCATCTAGTTTCCTGGCTGAACCCATGATGTGCATAGAAGAAAAGGACTTAGTGCACAGAGGACAGAAAGAATCAAAACAGAAAAACAAATCAAAGATTTTGTCTTAAATTACTTAAATTTACTGAGAATTATAATGACATATTTGAATAAAAACAATATAAAGAAATTTTCAAAAGATAAATTATACTTGTCTTTATTATTATTATCTGAAAGTTAAGTTTAGACTGTAGAATACTGAAAAGTCACATAATATATTAAGGCCAGGAATATAAAAATAAAAAAAATTATCATGCCAATACATTGAATATTACAAATGCAAAAAGTCAAGAGGGGTAGTACATGAATAGAACCTATAGAATAGATAAGAGAGGAAGATATGCTGGATTAAATATGATATGCTTGTGATTTTTATTACCTTAAATAACCCAAATTCTACATGAGGAAAGAGATTTCTACCTTTACTTTTCTATAGAATTTTTAAGGAAATAGCAATAGTAATAATTTAAATATTTTGCATTAGAAAAAGGAATGGATTAATTATTAATATTAACAAAGACATAAATTGCCAGATGGTTCATGTTTCACTGAAGTTTCATGACTTATACATGAAACTTTAGTGAAAAGTTAAGTTTAGAAAAATATAGGTAAATAATTTTTAAATTCAAATAATACTATTTTAGTATTAAATTATTAAACAGAGTATCTGGTATCATGAAAGACAAATTTGACTAAAATTCTCTATTTATTCATCTTTTCACAAATGCTTGNTTTAAATATAAAAAATTCTATAATCTGCTACCTCATTTTATTTTTTATAATTAAACATATTCAGTGTTTGCACATTTCTGTTCTATTTCCATTAGTACTTGTAAATGTTCAATGTTTCAAACAACAATCCGATGAAGGTCATTAATTTAAATATGACTAAAAACCTTAGTTTTTTCTAGTTTAATAAATCTTTTTTGCTGCTGTACAAGGTTGTGTATGATGGTCAAGTGATAAACTATAGCAGTTACTATGTGAAACAAAGAACTTATTCTTGTACTTTTTTTACAATGATGATGCTTGTGTTGGTAAAAATATGTAAAATATAACATAAATTTCTAAAATTTTTCTTCAAATGTAGTATCTACAATAATTACTAATAAACTACAAAAAAATCATTTTAATAGTGAGACAATTAAAAATATTAAATTACTTAGATTAATAAATTACAGTGCATTAAAAAAATGTTATAAACAGATCTTAAAAAGTATTATGTTTACATTATTAGGTTTAATTAATTTATAACATTTAGGTAAAAAATTTAAATATTTCAATTAATTTTATGTTAGCATCTTCAAGATTGTGCAGCAATTACAGTAGAACAACAATTTATGACAGAAAATCTATTATTAAATTTTAACACTTGGATGATTTTTAATTATTTGTAAGATAAATG